CTTGATATGACACTGACTCGGCATGGCGCCGTAAGTCACGGACCAATATGTCTTGGAAATTGATCTCGTACGCCTTTCCGATACGCGTACGTAAAAGGGCCAAATCGGCATTGACGCCTTGCAGAGCTGAAGCTGATCGCAAGTCCAGCAATTGTATTGTGGGCTGGTCGTCAGCAGTGGTATCCCTTTCACCGGCAATAAGGTCCTCGAGCGAATCGATGCTCGCAAGAGCCTTGTCGATTGCGCCCTCGTCTACCAAAGCCTCGCAGTTCGCAACACCATCCGCGATCTGCTTGAGCTGAAGCACTGCGTCGTTGAGCTGGCGCAAGTTTTCCTGGCGTCTCCGCTGGTGAACAATCTGCAGGCCCTTGGTCGCAATCTCCTCATCAAGTGTCTCGAGCTCTTTTCTTAGCGTTTTGATTCTCTCGACGGAGTCCGCAGCTTCCGAGTGCAGCTCCTTCAACGATCCCAGTGCCGTAAAGAATGTAGACGAGGCGGTTGAAATAGAGTTGATCAGGTGAACTTCAATAGTGTCCATGTACCAAGATAGCTTTTCTTGCAAGATCGCGTTGGTAGCAAGAGCTTTCCGCGGGGCCGCAGCGCTTCCATTAAGCGCACCCTTCCCATCCTCGGCGTTGGCAGGTCGAATTACCTCGGATCGTTCGCTCACGATATCGAATGTGCGGGGGTTTTCGAGATGAAACTCTTCATCGAAGTACACGGTTGGAATGGTGGACAGAGGTGGTGGTCCTTGTGTGGATCTTCGGATAAAGCCAGCGCTTGGTCTTCGAACTGGATTGTTGCCATCGTTCGAATTCATCGACGAAAGTGATGCAGTCGAGCCCTTGCGAGTTGGCCGGGGCTTTGGGCCCGGCCGCAAATACCCATCACCGCTCGACTCTGTCGGGGTATCTGGGCGATCCGAACGCTGCTCCTTGTTGGCCTCCTCATCGCTTTCCTTTAGTCGTTGCAGCTGCTCGTATAGTGCTCCAACCTTGGTTAGGTATGGGCTGAATTCTTCAACGTCGACCTTTTTGATATTCGTCAAGCTAACCGGGGGGATATCTCGAGCTGTTGGAGGTTTGTGCGCAGTCGAAGCTGGTGCGGAGGTGTGAGGCTGAAGGCCAGTTCGAACAATGGGGGGCTGAAGGAGGGTTGAGATAGCTTCCAACGGTTAGCCATTGCGATGGTAGATTCCACAAACTAAAACAAACCATTCTGGCTTGATTCATAAAGCGAAGCAGCCAAACTGTTGGGAGCACTGTCAAGAACACCTCCTACTGAGTGAATAGAGCTTGCCGTAGAGCCACGTCGCGCTGACGGGTGGGGATGCATCTGAGGGTGTCTATGGTTGTTACTGTATCACATGTCAGATTCATACACAGTAAACAGCTTGAGAAATAAAGGTATTTATGGCTACCTATGGAACGGAAGCTCCCCATGGCCCAGAGGCGACAAGGCCGTGAGGTTGTCGGCAGACCTGGCTGCGGTTGGAGAGCTGGGAGAGTACATGATCAAGGAAGCTCCGGCTGAAGTGAGGCAAAGGAGCTTGGAAGACGAGTGACGAAGTGGGCGGGTGTATTATTAGGGTATCATCGCTGAAAGAACCGAACAGAAAATACGGTAGTCAAGAAGTCTTTAGACAAGATTGGAAATGGTAATTAAGTGAAGACAAGAGAAGGAATGAAGGAATAATCAAGAATACGCCGTCATCACCAAAAAGGGTTATTGGTATATTACAGTACTGTACTTGGGGTAGGTACCTTGTTCGTCTAGACACCTTGTAAGTTGCAGCTTTGGAACACCCCTGAAGGCGATGCACGTGATCCAGTTCATGCTTTGAGTTCTAGAATGCTTCCTGTAGGTACGTACAGTAGGTACTATACGCGTCGCGTCAAGGGTCAAGTTAGTGCACGTTTCGTTCGTGCCTCCGCTAAATTGACAAAGGTAGGTTGCCCCCCAACTAGAATAAGCCCCTCCATAATGCCCCCTGTCTAAAGTCGATTCTTGTGTTTAACAACGATCAAGCAGAGGAATACTCTCATTAATTATTCACAACCACAAACAATCACAAGATGGATCGCGGATCAGTTTACTCCGCTCACGTCTTCGAACCGAGTTTCGGTGAGAATGGAGATACTCGGCTGCAACTTCAGACACAGCTCGAAACCTTTATCCTCGACTTTCGGCTCGACAACAATTTCGTCTACAGGTTTGTGCTGAACATCACGTACGAGACGACCAAACGTATTAATAATTTCGCAGAGACCAACTTCGAGAGAATGCGCTTCTCAAGAGGTACTTCTGCGACGTTAACATCAACGACTTGATTAGCTTCAACGAGGAGCTGGCACACCGACTGGCTTCTGAACCTGCCGACATCATCCCTCTAGTAAGGAATACACCAAAGCGAATACAGTAAATTCCTAACAAGCTGCAGTTCGAAAATGCCCTAAAGAAATGCACACATCGCATTGTCTTCCCTCACGAACCCAAGATTGAGATCCCCGAACATCAACTTCTCCTTCACTCAAACGCCGACGATGTCTCGATCCGCAATCTCGACTCCGAGACCATCTCACGGCTGGTACGTGTGCCAGGTATTGTCATTGGTGCCTCAGTCATGTCATCAAAGGCAACAGAACTCCATATCCAATGCCGCAACTGCGGGCACACTCAGAACATTCCTGTCTTGGGAGGTTTCACGGGTGTCACTCTTCCCCGACAATGCTCTCGAAGTCGAGTCCCCAATGACCCAACACCAAAATGTCCCATGGACCCCTACTTCGTTGCCCACGAGAAGTCTCAGTTTGTCGACCAACAAATTATCAAACTTCAAGAAGCGCCCGACCAAGTTCCTGTAGGAGAACTGCCCAGGCACGTCCTCATCTCAGCCGATAGATACTTGACAAACAGAGTTGTTCCAGGTTCAAGATGTACTGTTATGGGCATCTTTTCGATCTACCAAAACAAGGCCTCCAAGAACTCCTCCACCGGTGGTGCTGTGGCTATCCGTACTCCTTATTTGAGGGCGGTCGGAATCCAGTCAGATATCGACCAAGCAGCCAAGGGTAATGCGACTTTCTCAGAAGAGGAGGAGCAAGAATTCTTGGAAATGAGCCGACGGCCAGACCTTTACGAGGTTATGACTGACTGCATTGCCCCCTCTATCTATGGAAACCGTGACATCAAGAAGTCAATCCTTTGCTTGTTATTAGGAGGCTCGAAGAAGATCCTCCCCGATGGAATGAGGCTAAGAGGAGACATCAACGTGCTCCTTCTTGGTGACCCTGGTACAGCCAAGTCTCAGCTTCTCAAGTTTGTCGAAAAGGCAGCCCCTATCTCCATCTATACATCCGGAAAGGGTTCGTCTGCTGCAGGTCTGACGGCATCCGTCCAACGTGATCAATCTACGCGCGAGTTCTACCTCGAAGGTGGTGCGATGGTCTTGGCTGATGGTGGAGTGGTGTGTATTGATGAGTTCGACAAGATGAGAGACGAGGACCGAGTGGCGATCCACGAAGCTATGGAACAGCAAACTATTTCCATTGCCAAAGCTGGTATCACTACCATCCTCAACGCACGAACGTCGGTTCTGGCTGCTGCCAACCCCATTTTCGGTCGATATGATGATATGAAGACTCCTGGAGAGAACATTGACTTCCAGACTACCATTCTTTCGCGTTTTGACATGATTTACATTGTCAAGGATGAACACAGCCGTGAAAAGGACGAGACAATGGCCAAGCATGTTCTCGGTATTCAGATGAACGGTCGAGGTGCTGAGGACATGACTGAGTCTGAAATCGCCATTGACAAGATGCGAAGATATATCACCTACTGCAAGACGTAAGTTTCCCCCTTGTCGCCACATCCTCCTGTTTATACTAACAAATGATAGTCGATGCGCCCCCCGACTTAGTGCTGAGGCTGCCGAGAAGCTTTCTTCCCATTTTGTTTCCATCCGTCGGCAGGTCCACGCTGCCGAGATAGAGGCCAACACTCGTTCTTCTATCCCCATTACTGTTCGTCAGCTCGAGGCTATCGTTCGTATTACCGAGTCTCTTGCGAAGCTTAGTCTCTCCCCCATCGCCACCGAAGTACACGTGGACGAGGCCATCCGTTTGTTCTTGGGTTCCACCATGGATGCTGTCAACCAAGGCAGCAACCAGGGCAGTCGTGAGTTGAACGACGAAGTCAACCGCCTTGAGGCAGAGCTGAAGCGACGCCTTCCCATCGGATGGAGCACTAGTCTATCCACACTCAAGAGGGAGATGGTGGAGGGCAAGGGATACAGCGAGCAGGCACTTAACCGAGCTCTGATGGTGCTGCAACGGAGAGACACAATCATGTTCAGGAACCAGGGAGCTCAAGTCTACAGGAATGGAGCTTAATGTAGGAAGGAAGGATTTGTTTGGCCTGTTAACGAGTAATGAGGCGAAATCATCATGATCATTGTACAAGTTAAAGATACCAAAACTCGATATCGCATTTATATCTGCCTGTCTAAGATTTGGCTAGTCCCATTGATATACTAAATAGCCTAAGAAGTATGATCTAAGCAGCATAAAATGACCTACTAACTTCGCCTCTTATGTTCCTGGCGGCCAATTTTTCTAATACCCTGAGGAGGTGACAGTGACGTTGGATGAGTGACGGAGATTAGTACACTTGCTAATTATCATCACGTAGTCAAAGCATCAGTAACCTTTGCCGTCCCCATTAACTTATACCCCCAGAAGGTATTATACAAAATAGGCACCGTAGAATTCAACGCCATTAGATCGGCCAGTACTTGACTCTACCGTTGCATCAAGCACGTAGTGTTGCATCAATCACCCGATACCAAACAATTGTTTACCCACTTTGATGGACCCGTGGTTCATAATTCAAATTGTCCGAATAGTCATTCATCCTATATTGTACTACTTAGCGACACTCGAAGTGGTGTTATTCTAATTATCGGTATTGTTGTTCGTGGCTCTCGCTGGCATCTCAAATTAATCATCGAAACCGCCCCATTCGTTGTCCTCACTGCTATCACTCTCACTTGAAGATTCCTCCTCTTCGCTGCTCTCCTCATCCTTGTTATGTTTCTTGTCATCTCTTGTAGTCAAAGAAACGGTCTCGCCTGTTGACTTCAACGTAGGCATACCAACAACATCACGAACTATAGCACCGTTGTCATCTCGCACATAAGGACCCTCGTCATCAGCAGGTGCGTCATCTTGTTCGCCGGATCGAACAAAGCCAGCGACGAAGAATCCCATAACACCCTGTCCATCATCTTTGTAAGAGCGAATGCAGCCTTCTGCTATCTCTTCGTTGCCTTCGCATGCTTCAGGTAGCCCACGAACAGGCCATTCTCTCATCCCGGAAACCTGGTCCTTCCGTAGAAGAATGCGCCAACCTCTTCGCTTTGCAATGTCGGATTCGAGAGCTCTCATGACGACGCGTTCGTTTTCTTGCATGTGAATAGAACAAGTTGAGTATGTGATCTTCTTTGCTGATGGGAACCGGAAAGCATGTAATAGGAGAACCAACTGGAAGGACGACAAAGCCTCAAGACGTGTTTCGAGGTCCTTCTCTGATTTAATCGCTGTTTCGTTTCCATCGTCGTCTATCATGACACTCTCAGGGGCCGGCTCGACCTTCTCGTGTTTTCTTTTGCGATTGTTTGGTTTTGTTGGTGGCGTTTTTCCGTTACCGCTGTAAGGTTCTGGTAAATGAAGTTCCGGCATCGAATCTCGTCCAACGATACCGCTCCCCGAACAACTAGGATCCAGAAGCAATGCTCCAACTGACTTGTAGTTATCTGCTCTGGGTTTCACCTGCATGAAGTCTTGGCCAAATCCAATCTTCGTGACAGAATCTGAGCCAGCTATTTTGACCATCTTGTGCAGGACCTGCGCTCTTCTAGGATCCTTCTCAAATGCATAAATGGCTTGCTTGGGTGAATCGAATTCGGGCGTATGCTCCTTGACGATAGCTGCCAGATGTGTTGTCTTGTTACCAGGGGCAGCGCACGCGTCGATCAAATCTCCGTCTTCTACCCTAGGGTCCAAGAGATAGGCGGGGAAACAGGATGCTTTGTCTTGAAGAATGATCTTGCCAAAGGTATATGCCTCTGTTTTGGTGAGGTCGATCCCTGCAGTGATTGCCACGAGATTCGGTACGTGAGGGTCGATATAGATGAGTTTTCCAGCATTGGTGACAACCTCCTTAATCGATGTAGCTCTGGTGTACTTGGAGAAGGTGGTCTCAAGCTGTTCTTCCAATGTGCTCTTCACAGCGTTGACGCGAACCCATCGAGGGTAGTTTGCTTCCTCGCCTGCGCAGTCCCTCTCAACTTGCTCTTTTAGAGCCTCGACTGTCGGCATCTTTCTGCGAAGCCGCGCAAGCTTGAACTCTGAGCTGATGCGCGCTTTGTGTCTCTCGATAGATGCACGTAGGCCATGGCTTTGTGGAAGCGCAATTCCCTTCTTTGCTAGTAGGAGGTCATGGACAAGAAGTAATGACAACGTCGGTGTGAGCTTGATCCATAATTAGCTTACAGTCTCTGAACTTTATAAAAGATAAGTTCAAACCTTTCGCTCCAATTTGAGAAGTTCTGATTTCTCAATCACTTCTTTGAGGATGGGACTCCATTTGCAACTCTCCAGGACTAAGGCGTAGACCTGGTTAGGAGCAGACTTGAGGCCCTTCTTTTTAAAAACACGGGACTTTAGACTTCCGCCTTCAGATGAAGACCCTGTCAGGATCTCAGCAGCCTCATGATAAAGAGACATATTTGAGGCGATTTGAGATGTTGTCCAATGAGCTATAGATGACGATGAAGAAGAAAATTAAAGTGAGAATTGCTGGTATAGTACTTTAGCCGGGGCTTAGCCGACGGCAAGATCGTGTAAGTCGCCCCTGCTTGCTACTGATCGAATTTCATGGCGAAGACTTGTCAAAACTACAGAAATCCGCTTTATCTGGTACATCATTAGAGTAAAGTGTGTTGCATTCTACATTCTGGCCTGTGTTTGTCACATCATAGTTCCTAGATAGAAATATTCGAGTGCTTTCTACACGTCCGCAAGATCACCTCAGACAATATTCCTTAAGAAAAACTGTTAAAAGCAGTCCATAGTAGAGGTACAGCAGATCAAAACCATGTCAATCACAGTCAGATGTTAAGTTTAATTCACTTGTATATGTTTGAGCCGGTCGCTTTGTATGAAATGGGTATCTGCCCTTGATTCATAATGGGCGAAAGAAGTCGCGTCTAGCGCAATCGGGTCCTTGTGAAGCAAGGTATGTCCTCGATAAATATACATGTTAAGAAGCGAATCGAATCGAATCATCCAACCATTTTCCTCCCCTCAACTTCCCAAATTCCATTGCACCACGCAAACTCAAATTGATAAAAACAAATGCCTTGCCGTGAAATCGCCGTCCCTATATTCTCCAGTCCAAAGCAAAAGGGGGTTACTGGAACACCCCTCTTGTACAAGATGCGTTTTAATAAATGCATCATTGTAACGAAATGTGATAAAAAAAGCGTTGGCCACCTAGGCTGCTATACATGTTATCATATAAGCAGTCGAGGTACTCTGGTGAGAATGCAGAGTTTAGTGACGGTGGCTGCGGCGACGGAAGTTGTTGAATCCGCTGCCATGCTGGTGGGCATGTCGTCGAACGGGATCCCTCTTGTAAGCGGGAGCAGCAGCAGCGTCCTCAGTCTGGGCAGGAACGCTGGCTGTCTGAGTGACAGTGACAGTGTTCCAGACGGTGTGGACGCGGGTGGACTTGCACTTCTTGGGCTGGTCAGGCTTGCTGAAGATTTCGGTTGGCTTGGGGGCGTTGGTGAGAACGCTGGTAGCCTCGGCAGCGGCGTCGGACACAACTTCAGGGACAGAAGGTAGAGTAGGCTTAGGGATAGCGACGGTAGGCTCCTCGGGCTTGTCGGCGGGCTTAGTGTACTGAGGCGCCTCAACAGCGGTAGACTTGTCCTCGGGAGCCGACTTGGTAGCGGAAGGCTTGACGGAAGGCTCAGCGGAAGGCTTGCTGGGCTTCTCGTCGTCGTCACCCTTGTTGGGCATAGAGGGAGCATCACCGTAGGAGAAACCACTGAGAGGGTTGTTTCCAGGTAGCTTGTCCAAGGTACCAGTGGTCTTCTCATCAATCTCAGACTCGATCGTGCATTCGTCCTTGTTGAGGCCATAGAAAAGACCGGGGCAGTTGTCCATACCCAGAGTACCGGCGTTGCAGGTATCGATGATGTGTTTCAGAAGTTTCTCATCCCAGCCAGCCATGAAGTCAGCGTGGCTGCTGTAACCAGTAACGTCACCGTTGGAGAAAACAAAGGGCTGCTTGCCCTCTCCCTCAGTCCAGCGGCCCTGGAATTTGTTAGTGTTCCAGTAGGCCTCGTAGAAAAGATGAGGGACGTGGATCCAGCCCTTGGGGCAGTCGAGGTAGCCATCGTTGTCCTCGGGGTAGGCCATGTTGTTCTTGAAGTCGGTAAGGCCAGCCTTGGGGTTGTAGCAAGAAGGGAAGTGAACATCAGCTCGGAGAGGGGAGAAGGTGCCGTCACAGGTTCGGTCAGGGAATCCGACACCCTCGTTCTTGGTGATGGGGTCACCGACACCAGCTGTGGTACCGTCCGATTTGGCATCCCAAGAGGGGGTAGAGTAATCGTTGTTGGCGCGAGGGCAGGTCATTCTGGCGGCATTGACAGGACCCTTGGAAGGATCAAGGTTGGGCTTGGCACCAGCCTTGGGCATGGTACGGGTCATGGCATCACCAGCAACAATCTGCAGACCGGCAGGGAAAGGCTTGATCTCATCATGGGTCTTCTCGAAGCTGATGGTGATATTAGTGATGTGCGCAACGAGCGGCAGAGTGAGATAAGGTGAGACATGGGAGAGGGGCTTGTCGCAGATTGACGAGACAACGGGGAAATTATACTTACAAGTAGTAGGCGTTGAAGTAGTCGAACTCAACGTCCTCAAACTTCCCAGACTTGGGATCTTGGAAGTAAAGACTGGGGAACCAGTAGGCACTGTTGTCACCCTTGATCATGGCGTTACTGCACTTTGACTCCATGAGGTCCTTTCCAGTGGCGCTGGTGCTGAAACCACTTCCACCCATGATGTTGTGAACGTGAGTAGAGGTCTCTCCAGGGAAGAGAATGGGATCCATGCGACCTCTGGTAAGCTGCTTGTTGGTGAAGCGCAAGACGGCAAAAGTACCCTCCTCCTTGGCGGCGGAAGCAGCACCGGCGAGAAGCGCGGCGGCTGCAACGAAAGTGGACTTCATTTTTTATGATGTTTGTGATAATCGATGGATGATATTCAAGTAGTCACTTTAAATAAAGTGTTGTGAAGATAGTTGAAGAGCTGGCGAAGAAGAAGTCTCTAGGACTCTGAGCACTGGAAAGCGGAAACTTGCTAATTCTTCAAGAAGAAGCGGAGGAGAGGAGAACCAGTGTAAGGCAGGGGAGGGAAGCACGCAGGTGATACCGGAACACCTGTGATAACCTAGAATGAATGTTTCGTTTCGCAACCGTCCAGACTCGTTCAATCACTGCCGTTGATGTGCGTGATGTGATTCAGAGCGAGCGAGGTTAGAGTCGAGAAAAAATGAGGGTAACAACAGCTCAGGGAAGCGAAAGTACCTGAAACTGCTCTGCAGATACAGTTATGAATGAATGTGTGAATGATAAAATGAATGGAAAGGACGTGCCCAGCAGTTCAGTGTACGAGGACGAAGAGAAAAGAAAAGTAGAAAATAAAAGGAGCGTGTGGAGGGGATTCAAGAAGAAGAAGTATCCGCAGGTTGGACGAGGATTAGAGTTGGAAGGTTCTTTGTGCGAACAGGGGTGGGGTACCTAAAAGCGCATCCAGCACAGCGTTTGACAGTTGGTCTCCCGCTGCGAAGCCACTGCAAAGCACTTGATGCCAGGTCTGTCAGCGGGACCAGAGTGCATGGACGTTGATTTAGAAATCTTGGCTTTAACCATGAAATCCATTTGATCAAAGGATACTGACGATGGAGCCTCTAAGGCTCCACCGTTGAAGGCTTGGCTTGGCCCATTAAGGGGCTTGTCCAATCCCTCTACCGCCAGCCCAAGGCGTTTTCAAACATTTCTACATACAAAAGGTCTCTAGTGCGGCAAGACTATGAAAGAGGATTGGCTACAACGTTGGCGCCACATCTCACCTCATGGCCAAGAGAGGGAGGCCAATTCCTTATCGACTCTGTTCCTAAATATTTATAACAACTCACTGATGAATGAATGGGGAGAGCAATACACATGAAACGAACGACAAGACTAAGCGGTAAAACTCAGCAACATTATTGGGCATTGGCCATCATTATTGGCCATTCTTCCTTCTTTCTTGCGGGCCTCGAAGCGTACCTGCATTCAAATACTGGGTTGCCTTGTCCTCGGCCACAGCCGCTACAGTTACCGCCCAAGCTACTGGATGAACCAGGGGTTTTGACAAGGATCATCCAGCCTTAGCCTCTAGTTAATGGTCAAGGAGAAAAGGGATCCCTAGTTCAGTTGAGGCTATTCGTGGTAACTAACAGCTGACATTGCAGTGCGTGGCCAGAGTTTGTCAAGGCCCACCCGAGAGCACAGCAGATAGAGAGATGCGCTGGCAGTCACGCCGGTTATCCAAACCGCCAGTCATTCTTGAGCGTTGGAGATAAAGATCAGTTGAAGCCGCAGTTGCGCCTCATCTCTGGTGGAACACTTGTTGTTCTGCTCAGAGCGATCGTGATGTTGTACTCTGTTCTGTACCATGTACGTTGCACCATCATCGTTGCTTGTCTTGCACCAAGAACCCCTGGCCAGAGAAAGAAAAAAGAATGAATGAACGAAGCGAATAGAACAAAAAGACGTTGGACTCTGAACAATGAAGACCCGGCGGCCCCGCAACAGATACAGATTACAGGGTCACCATCCAGGGTAAAGTGCCTGCAGATCGTGACATGGCCTGAAACAGCAGGGGCCTTGTTGGTGTAGCAGGGGTTGGGTTAGGCGTAGTAGTCGGTACTGTTGATGGGCTGAAGCTAATCTGAAAGATCGGGATAGTTCTCCAAAGAGATCAACAAAGGGGATCAACCTAAGCCTTTTGCTGCTTAAGTTAGTTTCCAAGTTGCCAATATCAGTTTGAGATACGCAGTCGACTCATATATCATTCTAGTCTGTTTCTACTGATATCATCAGCACTGACATGTCACATTGAAAATGTCAAACTTTGATCCTTGTCCTTGTACCATCTTAAACTGCGCGGGTGTTTCAAACAAACAAACAACAAATCCTTCCTCTCTATCTTGTCAAACCTCGACTACTCTGTTGAATTCCAAATGCAAACCTCGCCTACCTTTCAATAGTGCTCACATAGTCTTCTGTAGCCAGGAGAAGAAAAGCCATTCTAATTAAACTTATAATATCGCGTGGCTTTGGCGACTCGCCGACTCGCAGGAAATACTGCAAAAGTGCTGAAACGCGCTAGCAAGCGACCCCTTGATCAGTCAACTCCACCAACGAACTTTACTTTCTGTCCTTCCATGTCAGCGGCTTCTATCCGTGCTTTTACTCTGACAAAGACCAACCTTAGCTTTAGCTTTATTCAGCAATTACTTTTATTATTGTTATTGTTATTGTTACTATGTAAAGCATCTTCACCTAATGTCCTAAGTTAACAATGTGTTCATCGTCTAAGCTTCTGCTCTTTATCTTCTCCATGCGTTCGGCTCAGATGAACCATCGTTGCTCTCAATGGATGTTGAT